TTCGGCTCCTCCTAAACCCAGCTATCTTTCAACCGTAGCCTTTTTCCCCTTTGTATGAGAGTTTAAAGAAATTTCTCTGATTTTTCTCTTTAACTAGTACCATTTTTTAGCTTTCACCAAGCTCGGGAACTGCAAGTTAAGCGTTGCTCTATCCTGTTTAATGGTGTTGGACAAAGTTCATTGCTATATATGGTAGATAGGATAGACATAACCAAAACTCTGCCTAAATCTTGAAACTGTTGAGCCACATGCTTTTTATGGGAAACTCGAGACTCTTTATAAGAAGCCAAGGCTAAGAGCAAGCAGGAGTTGTCCTATCTGCCTAGAAAGATTCGATAAAGAAAATGTGAGTGGGCGGGAAATCAATAGACACAGAAAGAGAAGAACAAAAGGAGCAGAAGGCACTCCATTTTTTATGTGAAATCAAGGAGTAGCAGGTTAGACTTTGACACTTTCCCGTGCTGCTATGATGTAACGTGCAAACGTCCCAAGGCAGCAGGATGTATGGTGTAGGGCCCCCTATTTTATCTCCCTAAAAGTTCTTTATGGATTTCGATTTTCGAGTCGTGAATAGAGCAGTGGCTTATTCGGCGCTATATCACAATTCATTCTCGTCTTTCTATTTCTGCTACTATGCCTCCTGTTTACTGTTTAGTTCAGTTACTTTTTTTTCTTGCAAGCAAGAAGGGGAAAAAATAGGCGATTCGAATCCGTGTTCTTCTTCTGATTTCCTCTTGTCTGCTTTCTTGCTCATGCCAATGCCTGACAAAATAGTTAAGAAATCTGCATGGGATTCTATGCCAAGAACATCGGCTTCTCATGTCGATCTTCTGTTCGGCCAAGGGGAGGAGAGAAAGAACACATGCATGGAGATTCTGTCTCTCGGAGGTTCGAGAATCTATGATAGGACATCTAAGGCTAAGGTTATGAAGTAAAGGAAGTCCATTACGGAGAGAAGTGGTGATCTCGTCTTGCTTGCTGGGAGAGAGGAAGCTTCCGGACCATCTTTTCCAGCCAGACGCAACTCGACTAATTCACCTTGTACTTGCTACCTCTTAAAAACACAAGTGCCGGGTAATTATGTCCGTGGAAACAGTCTCTTGTAGAAATGCAGGGTAAGGCTGCGTACAATAGACCTTTGTGCTCCGGCCATTCCCCGGACCCCGCGCATAGGTGGAGCTTAGTGCACCGGGCTGCCCTTTTTAATGTTTAGACAGATGAGAAGAAATAACCTAGTGTTTTGTTCCATTGAAATTTGGATACATATTTCTGTATTCTTGAAATAGCAATTCAACAGTGCTCTTTTTAATAAAAGATATTAAGTTCTGAAAGAAAAAAGATGATAGTACCCCGGGTTTCCTTTTTTGCTTGTTTGGGTTGTCTTCACGTCAGCTCCGCCTATATGAGTTTTGTATAGCTGGTTACATGCATAGATAGTGGAGAAAGATTGCATTTTTACTCTATTGCTGTTAAAAAAAAAGGATAACAGAGAAAGAGTGCGGTAAGTTGCCAGCATGTGAAAAGATAGTTATAATACATGAATGAATGTGAAGTTGGCCCACATAGAGCTGAACGGATGTAGAGAATTCATATACTTGACCCTATTGATCTGGGATTGAGGCGTACTTGATCTATTGATTGATTTTTGTATTTGTCTGTCTTCTTGGATGATTATCAGTTTTCCGGTGCCCATATTTTGTCTTATGTTGGGCAGTTGAACCATTAGGTGTATTTTCTGCCTGACGGTGTCAATAGGCTCATGGACCACAAATTGCAATGAGTTATAGGAAGGATGAAAAGATTCTGGGGTTGGTAGGGAGGTGACCAGTTGGGGGGGGGGGGGTAGAAAG